CTGATGGAATTGCAAATAATATCCCTTTATTGATTGAAAGTATATTTTTTATACTGCAGTTTGAGCTCGCAATGCAGACTATCCTGCAAAGCTACATATACGTACAGTCAGGAGTCTGATTAATGGCTTCTCGTTATCGTTTCACACACCACAGAAAAGCATGTCACGTGATACATTTTTTTCCAATCTAGTTCGTTCTGTTTTAGTACCTTTATGTTACATATGGGCAAAACATTTCACCCGGCGATGTATTTATCTGCGCGCTAGAAAGCAATTAACAACCCGCATATACATATCTTAAATGTGTCTATATGATGTCACATATTCCGGATAGTATCAATAAAACAAAATGTGCACCTTGATTTATCTTTTTTAATTAGATATACGTCATATTACTTTACAGAGGCATTCAAACGTGCAGATGCCATACTAGTTTGCAACCTTAGGCGGGATATATTTTAACAGTGATGAATTGAAATAGTTTTGGAACAGAAAACTACATATACATGTAATTGAGCTGTCACACTCAAGTATTGAATTGAGCCTCGGTTCGGATTTCGCTACAGAACCCCCATGCTTTTTCGTGCAATAACGCATATTTAAGATCAAGATGCAGAGGAGTCAGTTACATTAAGAGACAAACTAATTAATTTTGATGATAACTTTCCTGGTTAAATAGCATTGCCAGTCTCTTTAACATAACTGATGGAACAACCAACAGCCAAGATACCTTCTTCGATCCCGGCACAGCCGGTATCTAAGAAATGTTTTTAGTGGCAGTGCCGGTATCTAAGAAAGTATCGCTAAAAACATTTCTCAGATACCGGCACTAACACTAAGAAACATTCAAATTTTCAAAGATATAATTGCATGACCTTCCTGATGAATGCTTTCTCAGATCAAGAAAATGATTACAATGGCAGTACTTAAAAGTGAGGAGAAAACAATTAGGTTCGAGAAGACGGTTCATCATGTATTTCTATTCTCAATGAAATAATAACTTTCCTGAAAGGTACATTACTGGTCTTGACTTAAATATGGTGTTATTTTCCGACATGATTTTAAATAATATGGTTGTAATGCATTTACACCTACATTTTATAAATCTCTTTGGATACAAATTTACTTTTAAAATACTTCAATACAGCTAGCAGTACATTTCGTCCTATCTTTGTTGGTACTGCCTTTACACAAACATGTTTCACTGATTTGTGAACCGCAATAACGTAGACTTTCATGAGTTAGATGAAGTAAAACGATTAAAAGAACATCAATGCAGAGAGCATATCGACATTAATACAGGACGTAAAAACACAAAGATATTTAAAACATCAATGTCTCTAGTATGAAAGATTCCCTTTGGGGGAAAACATTGAGGCCACTTTTAAATTTGGCCTAGTTTTCACCCTTTTTCGCGAAAAATGAAGAACGAGAATATATCAGTTAGATGAAAGAAAATTCAGATTTTTGATATTTTCTTTGATATAAGAGTGCTGCAAATATGTGTATTTATTACACATCACTCTATATCTTACTTTGACACAATTAATTGGGCTCTGGTATTGGCATCATATTTCAAAATCCAAGATGGCTGACAATATGCGGATAATTGATTTAAAAATGTCTGTTCCAAAAAAAATCTTCTAAAAAGGACATCTTGATAATTCCAGAAATGATTGTCTGTCTATAAAGTATTTATCATGACAGAGTTAAGTGGAATTAGGTACATTGCTTATTGCTTAAATATAACACGCATATCAGCTACATGTAGCTTTCAATTTAGTTATTTTGTACGTTTGCATAGCTCATCCAGTATGTCGTTTATTCCGATAACTGTATATAACATTATTGACAAAATAATAAACATCCTTTGTCCTGACGTTATAAGTATAGTAGTGACTGTTATCATTCTTGTGTACTAATAAATACTGTCTTCGTAAGTATCGTAATCAGAGGGACATAGATCCGGAATGTAATGTTAAATGCTATCCATGTAAGGAGTAAGGAAGGAAACCTTAGGAAGAGTATCCTTAAACCACTAGTCGTACTCCAGTCAGAACGTTTTCTCCAACAAATTTTCCATATGGTAATGTTTCGACAATACTTTTGGGTGTCATCGCAAAGATTACAGCTTCTCGATTCTAGCCCGTTTCTATCTCGTTTCACGTGAAATATGCATGTTCCGTTCGTTTTGCCGACACCTTCAGATTAATTACATCAGTCTGACCTGTCAGTCGAGTTCCTTAAATTAACATCAACCTCTATTTTAATCAATATATAGTCTTACAAATCAGCGTGAAGAAAACCTTTGGTCGGTTGTGAGGTAGAAACCATTTTACAGTGTCTACACCCTGGTGTGTTCGTGTCACGTCTCTTAACAGGGTCTTCCTATAATTGTATTGAAACTGTTTATCTCAGTGAAGTTCTTGGTGAAAGACTCGTTTTCCCGCTTCTTTCGTGACGCATGATTGCTAGTTAAAAAGATCGAAGAATTTGTAATGTTACTTTCGGAAAGTAGCCACTGTAATGTGTGTTCTTTAAAGTTAAATATACATGTATGTTCATCAACTAATCCAAATGCAAAACAAATATCTCAACAGAGATTTCAGTTTCATATTGTAGTTTTGTGAATAAAATATACTGATCATAGAAGACATTTGATAGTTCTATCATCAAACAATTATCTAGCCCAAATAACATAGGCGTTTATATCACAGAAGTTAGCGGATGATAGTTACCATTAAACTTAATTCCGGCTCTTCAACCATTTTCTTTCCAGTTCAAATGCTAAACGTATAATGTAAACGTCTATACAATTAGAAATATCTACATATTTATTTATAATGATAGTGCCAATGTTACATTATCACTTAGTACTGTAAAGAGTCCATAGAATCCATGAACCTATCTGTGTGTTTCATGATATTCGGGAAAGACGCGATTAACAACCGTTCTGATCAGTTGAAGTATGAGGTGGCCGATGAGGTAAAGCATGATGTCGCGGACAGTATCCAAATATGATTTATATCATTTTCACCAGTGAAATAGTAGGAATTATCCATTTAATAAACACTTGTAAATATATACGAAATAATTAATCTTCAATTGTGAAGATATCACTTTTTATATTTTCCAATCAAAACGGTACTTTCTATTAACTGCGTAAATGTTCAGAAGTTAGGCGACGGCCGAGTAACCTGTTGTTTTGGTAAACACCATGCTATTGACACAACTTCACAATGGATATCAGCATTACAGTAGGTGGTTAATCTGTGTTGTGTTCTACTGATATACAGACCACTAAAACTCTCTTGGATGAATAAAGCACATTTTACCATTATCAAGCACATTTTACCATTATTTAACACAAACAAAGTTTTAATCAAGTAAAACTATAGTCTGATGGGCATATGATCCGGTCAGGTAAAGTATTGGAAAAGAATGATGAATCTGAAACCCGATACTGGTAAAATAGTTTCAGATGTAACTAAAGATTGGGGACATATGTGGACAAAATGGCCATTTTAAAGTACATGAGATGCTAAAGTGATAATTTCTTTTTTCAACTGGAGTATACCATGCAATTCTGACCTAATATGTGCGTCAAAGAACAACAGGCTGGCTAGATTGATAACGTATCGTTTTACTTATCAGTAGGAGAATTTCACGAGGTGTACACTTTCTAATAACTTCTGAAATCTCCTGTTAAGTGTTAAGGCAAAGGCTTCAGGATATCGGTACAGGAGATACAGGATGTCTGCTTTTATGTTTGTGTCGAATTGGAAACTTAGCAAGGTATGACTTTTCAATAGCGGATTTCTTTCTATAATCGTCAGAAGAACAAATACTTCAAAAATGTTTTGTTCTTTGTATTCGTTCGAATATGCCCACAAACATCGGCTAATATGTCACTTTTCAACGATTTCTTGCGTCAGAATAACCAATAACTTTACCCTAATTCACGTGTGTCCATCCTCAGTCTTGTTTGTCCCCATTAGAGCAGTTGTTCAGGAACGAACTAGACAGGAGGGACAGGAAGAGCGTCAACGCTGCAAACAGAGCTGTCCATCTAATGCAGAAACACAAGTCTTGATTGGAACAATGCTTATAGTAGTAGAATGACAGCAGTCCAGGGGTTATCAGGAAATGGCTAAGGGTACCCTGGTATTAGCATCATACAAGCGAATGCCGCTTGTGCTATCACTATTGTGTTCCTTTTCCTGCACTAGAGTATACTTTGTTATATTTTCTGTAGAGTCGTTTATCTACCTACAGTGTTTGTACATGTATGTATACTACTTTTTTCTACGTAAAGAGCGAAATAACCGATGGAATTTTTAATTTCATCAGAAGTCCAAGTCCTTTATTCCAAAAACGTATAATGAAACGCTACCTCATACTTTACATCAACTTCAAACCCAAGTTTTACATTACTGTTTTGCCCAAATATAATGAAGAGCTTAATTAAAAACAACAATTTTTTATTAGACATAAATTTGCATGCCTTAATTGCTTACAACAGTGAAATACAATGACAATGTGGTGAAATACATTGACAATGTGGTGAAATACAATGACAATGTGGTGAAATACAATGACAATGTGGTGAATTTTGATGAAGGTAGTTTTTTATGAAGTGTTTACTAACATAAAAGACACCCAATCTACTGAAACGACATTATTACAAAATTTATTACAATTTATATTAATCATTCTTGTTGGCCCGGATGATAGCGCGCGGGGGTCTTAATGTGGGAGGAAACCAGAGTACCTGGGGGAAAACCACGCTGTCGGAAGTTAAACCTAATCCTTTTCATACCGATCGGGGAATCGAACCCCGGATGCCTTTGTGAAAAGCGATGCGCCACCCGACTATATCCATATTAAAATATGAAAATATTCTTAATGATCAATAAAAAATGAGAAAAAAGATAATGTCATAGTGATGCAGTAGACAATAATATGCAAGGCATGCTTATCTGTCTTAAAAGTATTATTACCTCATTGCCATCACGCCAGTTCTTATGTGAATCGGGACGGCTAACTTCATTATTACAACTGTACTTTCTGAGCCACCTTAGTCCATAGTGTTAGTAAAGTACGTAGTATAAACAAAACATTGAATATGGTTCAACTTCGCCTTAAAGCTCCTTTAGTTTGTTCTTGTTATACCGTCACGTTACATACATGAATACAGCTAAATGTGTATCAACAGTGTTCCTTTAGGGGAGTGTCAACCCTCACTCTAAACACAATATTTCGGACTGAGCCCTTCATCAGCAATTACATAGTTCTCACTTCAATGTCACGTGAATACTTGACAACATGTTATTTTTATGCTATTTAGTACGTAACATTGGTCTGTAAACAAACTTCCCGTTTAAAAAAATAAAATTTGATATTTAGCGAAGGACGAAAACTGTGTATGCCTAAAATCATGGCGTAATCACTCGGCCATTATTTCAGGATGCTCCAAACAATGACATGGACACCACGTACATTAAATGTAAATGATCCGTCATTATTTACGTCAACGACCTATGCTTATTCAAGATTATCAAAACAAAAACCGCAATTGTGATGTTCACTATATCAGAACAACCCGAGCCAACAATATTTTGAAATGTCATCGCACTTCTTTACAATTGTGATTTTTGTAAAAATGTCAAGGGCAGCCAATTAACGGCTTAATGAATGCCAAACGGAATTAAAGATATAGTGAATGCAATGTTTTTAAAATCAAAGAATAGCACACTTATTATAAAGTTAACATTGGAGATATTATCAGCCTAAATATTTTGGTACAAGCATTTACCCGATTTGTGGTAAGTTTTAATTAAGACTTCTTTAACAGTTTAAAAAAACCGTTCAATAACGTTGGTAATAGATAATACAATGCATATGTTTAAGAGGGTAATTCAAATCCTGACAATAGCACTTATCCTACATGATGATTCATTAGGACGTCTTGTTTCCATGTTTAATTAACTAATGTTCAATAACGTTGATAACAGAGACATTAATACATGTATTTCAAAGGGCGTTTCATTCCCTAGCGATAATGATCAGCGTACTGCTAAATGTGATTCGTGCTATCTGTGTTTGTATAAAATTTTGATAGCGTTCACACTTCTTCGCGTACACTATATCGTTATTATATACATATCGTCTGCTTCACACAAACACACACTAGAAACAACAGTATTAATACTCTAGCGACCGCGGTACAAACAACTTAACAGCATAAATGCCTCGCGTAACAAAGAATTAGAATATATGCCATAGAGTCACAAAGACAATGGACAAACCTTAAACAGAAAAATTAGGTATTATTGCGTTCACTTACCGTTCCATAAAGCTCAAGTCTTAAAATTCGATTTCAGTACGACATCGGTATAGATCCTTCCGTCACACTTGTAATCCTCTTGTGCGTGTTATATCAGTGATGTTGAGAGTACTCGCACTGGTGGTAACAGTTCTCTCGAGTGGTTATTGACCTTGGAAGCGACACACAGTTACTGTGCAATAAAGGGACATAACTTGTCCTCTCATGAAGCAGCGCTCTCTTCTCATACATTGTGTTACATTAACACACTATGGTACAAGTGACGTGTCACCGATTCACCATTGCATCAGGTTATATCTTCTATCGCAGTGATGTACATCAGAGCCTGTGTTCATAAACATAGTATCATGCTCAAACTCATTCAGATTCAGTTCTTAAGCCCAATTCCTTGTTCCAGTGATAAACTATTCTCACGCTATCACTGAATATTCTCCAATTTTACCAAGATTTCCTTTCCAACGAAACAAGACGATGATGTCAGGGGGCACTAAATACAGGGAGGGAGTTAAACAACCAGATAATCATCCAGAGGAATGGAGATTTCTTTGTTACATTTCCAAAGTAAGGTAGGTTATTTCAATGGAAAATTCACATTTAGTTAATAGTTTGAAAGAACTTTCGAGAGACTAAAATCAATCACATTTTGAAATGTTTACACTTGATTTTTTAACGTGTTACATGATTTAAGCGAGTTACTAAAAAAATGCAATGAATACAGACTCTCTGTCAGTTATATATTTAATTAAATAGACACGCAATGTAGTACCAAGTAACCTTAAAGATAAGACAAACATCAACTATAGCTTCCAATGGTGATCGAAAATTTAATATTACCTGATGTCAACTGTGCCAGTAACCTGAATTCAGATCTATTTGAATCTCACCTAATTGATACCCCTGCCTGCTTATGTAGTTCTCTTGTTGAGGATTGTGATCACTTCTTCTTCCATTGTACTCTGTATAATAATCAAAGGCAAATTCTCCTGAACTCCATCTCTGCTCTTAATGACATTATTCCATTAAATACTCAGACTTTTCTTTATGGATGTCGAAGACTCGATATCAGTATGAATATAAGTATCTTGGAGATGGTTCAGAGATTCGTTAAAGATACAAGACGCTTTAGCTAGATTACACTTACTTGTTTACCTTTATCACATGACTTTGCTGTATGGAATGATACCAGTACATAATTGTACTATGTGCTGTCCACCAGCATAGTTTCAATTGCCATTTTTTGTAAAATTTAGTTTTTGTACAACCATGTTTTTTTTAATATTGACATGCAAATATCATTATTCATGTACATAATATACATGTTTTATCATTACTTCAATTCAATATGATGTGTGTAAACTGTTTATAACTGTAAGGAGAGGGCGCTCATAGGCTTTGCCTGTTGCCCAATTCCTTTGTATCTAAGATCTGAACAATAAATATTCTGAAATGAAAACTATAGCTTCCTTAAACAACTTAATGAGTAACAGGCCTTCCTTAATAGTCCAACAGAATGATGAAACCCTTGGGAGTTTAAATGCATGCTAATTGCTTTGCCTTATTATTCCGGCTGTTAGCTCAAATAAACAACACAATATGACCGCAACTGGGTGTTCAATATGGAAATGGCAAAGATATTGAAATTAGGTTTCGTGATATGCATTGGTCGACTAATGATTTGGCAGTCATGCAATTTATTACACACAGATTTACTACAAAGACGGATGCAATGGCAATAGAAAATAGCAGGTAGATATATATATATATAATTCAGTATTTTAGTGTGACAACTTTTGCACTGTGGCATCTTCAGTGGTAAGCACCATTGCAGCGGCTAATGCCATATATGTAGACGGTGTTTAAGAAGCTGGAACCACTCAATGTCCGCTTTAACGAGTCGTCTCACTGAAACAGTGAAAGACAACAGTATTCGCTTGTTATATTCATCCAACCTGCAGCACATACATCAGCTATCGTGTTTTCAACTAATACCTAGAACGTTGTCAATATGATAAGACATAAGTGCGACTTCCGATATAATATTGTTGCTGCAAATCATGTCAGGAAGGTGACCATTACATGTCAGCAGTGCAGATATGTGTCAACGAGACCAACATTCATAATCCTTCTTGTTCTAGCGTTTGTTGAAGTTATTCTAATGACCCAAGGCATCATTATGACATGAAGTAAGTACGAATTCTGAAATTTCATTGTTGCAAATCATGTTTGACTTGTGACCATAAAATGTCACCGGTGCAGATGATGTGTTGACAGGACTAAGATTCACATAACCCTACATGCACCAACAATTAAAGTCCACATGCATTAATAAATAAACATCAATACATGTAGATGAGGCCCTCGATCACATTCCGATTAGCTTTTTATCCTCATTTTATCCATGAGTCTTAAGAGGAGCATGCCGCAATTAGCGTAGACCGTTTTCTCCAGTCTTATTGATTTGATTAATGGTATCCCCTCGTTAAAGATGTACAGGATAGAGCTAGAATAAACAGTGATTAAAGACATTATTTTAGTTTAATTCAGACGTTTAAATTAATACGAAGACAATATATTACAGTATTTTCATTAACAACTCTTTTAAATTGATTTAGTAAATGGATCATAATAGCAAACGGAATTGAAGCATTTTCCTGTGTTGTACATTTCGGTATTTACTTAATAGTTTATTTTAGTCGATTCACCGTTCGGGGATTGAATTGATTCTCTAACCAAACGTTTGCTTGTTTTTCAAATTCATCTAGATCACGAAAACAAATCACCATGAATATGTTAAGGTACCGATCTGCTCTTCATGATCCTATGTCAATAACAATCAAATGGGTTGTTTCCTGAAACATATATTTGCAAATTAATTAAGTTTATTTTTTATTGTGCGGAAATTTTATAAAGTTAGAAACAGTTCAATACACTATGCAAATCTTTACCAATCTGTTTATGTACTCTTGTTAATATGACTTATATGAAAAGTATAAAAGGACAATAAAAAGAAATCTGATCGATCTTTCAAATTCACATTTAGACATCTTCAAATCAAAATGTTAGCATACTGTTTGTACCGTTTTGATCATCGTAGAATCCTCTCCTTCAGTGTACAGATTCACAATAATCTACCGTATTTTTGTAATGGGCACATCACTAACAGACTATATGCCAAACTTTACGACAACTCTGTAAGAACTTCTATTTCACAATCGTTAATGTTTAATTCCTAAAGCAACATGCCGTGCTCTGCTGTTTATGCGTCTATATGTGTTTTGTGACTCCAAACCAAGTTGTTTTCATCATGATAGTCTTGAAAGATAACATACTCCATTCTGACTTGCAAAGTATTGACCACTACTGGTCTCCTTCTGAGGCGTCCATCTAGGGTGAATAGTTTTGCCTGTCGTCACAACAATCTGATTTACAAAAATGTATCTTTGTCCTTGATGCCGTGGTTAAGTTCGGTTCTGTCTTATTTTTTTCGCTTTATTTATCAGACGTATTTATTTTGTGAATGATACAATACATTGTTGTTATACACTTCTAAAACAACAAAATCTTTGACAAATTTAAAAACAAAGACATGGAAGCCAAAAAGTCAGAAAACCCGCAAATATTCACAAATGTTTGCGTAAACCTTTGAAACTTATTGGATGTGATGATTTTTCCATTGTCTAACGGTAGAAATATTTGTGTATTATTTGTACTGAAGAACGTTAATAGCAAGCGCAGCGAGCGCTTTTTGTATCGTACGCGTGGTATATATATAGTTCAAGCAAAAAGCTATATATAGTAACTCAAAACGAAACTACAATACTATACGATCTGTTTTCTTTACATCGTGCAGAACGGATTTTAAAATTTACGAGCGTCGAACTGATTAAT